GCGATTTGAGCCTCAAGGATATTTTTACCTTTTTGCCTTTCTAACAGTCGAGCTTCCATAGCCTGATACACAGAGATCACTCTCCCAGAACAGCAATATCCCAGAACAGCTTTCTCTGCCTCAAGCAGTCTACTCTTGAATTCATTATCTGCAAGCCCTGCAATGACTGAATCATCAACAGAGAATTTCTGACCTGTTGTGGGATTAATGATGAAACCAGTAGCTGCTTGGGCCTCTAAAAATGCTACTGCCAATGCTTTTCCTATGATTCTTTTCTTTGCTGCTAAAGCAAAAGAAAGTATTTCTTTGCTGGATTCAAGGTACAGCCCAGCTACAGCTGTAGGTTTAGTTAAAAATTTTTCAAGACTTTTCTGAACCTCATCAATAGTTTTCTGCCCTGAACGGAGCTGCTCTACTGTGAGCCTGTCTAAAAGTTTAACTTCAGCCAACTGTCTGGCAGTTACATCATGTCGGAGACCTTGAAATTTAATATCATCATATTCTTCTGTAAAATATTCCAACTGAGTAGCATCATCAACAGTTTTCAAAATCTCTTCCCCTAAGAAAGAGCTCATCTTTGCAAAGTCTTCTCTCCTAAACCTTTCAGACGTTTTGCATCCCTCAAACATTCTCTCTTCATTACCAAAAGTCTTTTCATGTTCTTGGTTTAATGTTGTGACTTCAACATGCATGTCATACTGCTTGTTCTTCACTATCTGTAAATAGGAATTTTTTGACACAGTGAGAAATACATCTGCGGAACTATGCTGTATATAATTCACTCCTACATCCACCACCAGAGAAACAAAAGGGAGAACTTGAATGTAAGTCAGAAAAGGAGAACTGCTACTAGCGTTGGAGAGCAGAGAAATACAGATAGTTGGAGTTTTAGAGAGCATTTGCCATTTCAAATATTTATTCAATAACAGACTAAGCAACAGTAATGATTTTTTGGTACCTTATGAACTTAGTGCTGCTGATCAAAGCTCATTTTGACCAGTAATGATACAATGTTGTATGTGAATCCCTATTTCCAACACAAATATTTAAAATAACATGTTTCTTAGATATTAACAAATCTGCTACAAAGGTTTAATGAAAAGCTTCTTGTGCAATGTAAGAATGAAGGGGTCCCGTTCACCAAGGTAAGAAATAAGAAACATTAGAGAAAATACAGAAGAGTGGCAAAGCAGAACTAAAACCAAACAAATTAAAAAATAGACTAGTAAAAACCAGCACTAGGAAGGCAAACCCTCACAAAACGTAGTGTGTACCTCCAAGGGATGCAGTTTTACCACTCCTAATTCATGTTTCATGTCTTCTCCATGTCTAATAGTTTGCCTGGAACTGTGTAGGTTCCTGTTTCTCAATTTGTCCCTTTCAGATGTTCCAGAGATTTGGCTTGCTTTATCAAAAGTTATCTGGAACTGTGTACTTGTTTGAGAAACAAACTCTGTAAAAGACTGTGGGCTTGCATCTTCTTCTAGTGACTGGTTTATTCTTGACACCTGGAACTGCACTTCTCTCGGTATTGTATCATCAGCACTCATGTACAATGTATTTTCTTCTATTTGATCGGATTTAAAACCCGATCTCTCCTGTTTCTGCCTTAACAAAGGTGAGCTAGGTTTTGTATGCAGAGGAAGCTGTTCAAATTCTCTAGCTGTGGTGTCACTCAGGTAATTGAAATCATTCCCTCTTCTCTCACAGCTCAATTTAAATCCAGATTCTTGGAGTTTATTATTTTGATGAACTTCATTCTGAAACAAAAGAAACCTGTGTTCACTCTCCTTGACCTGTAGGTCCATTTTCTGTTTCAAGCTCTCAACTGTGCGCTTCTGCACTTCCAATTCTTCCTCAAGTTTCCTGCATTTCTGGTGATAGTCCATTTCAGCCTGCTTCCCTTGCTGTAGTTGTTCATGACATTTTTTAAGCCTTTCTTGCAGATCTTCCATTTGTATCTTGTACAACATGACGTTTTCCTCAGCCATATGCTTTTCTTGTTGAAGAGCAACACATTCTAGTTTTATGCCAGAAATATCCTTTTCTGCAATGCTATGGGATTCCAGTAATTTTTCAACTTTTTTCCTAAATTCTTCTGCAGAGTGTTTAAACTTAATGGATTCTTCCTGAAACAGAATCATCTTCTTGCATGCCATTTGTTCATCCAGAGTCTTCTGATGGAGTTCATCCTGTAATTTTTTTAATTTACAATTTAGCTCTTGTATATGAGTTTGCTGTAGCTGTATCTTCTGCTCATTCACTCTCTTCTCCATAGTTAAAGCATTCATTTGGGCATTTAGATTTTTAACTTCCCGGTTAGTGGTTAGGGTAGAAACACTTTGTTTATCACATTTTTGTTTATATTCACTAGCCAAGTCTTTTGTTTTTGCTAAATCAGCTTCTAGGCTTTTGATTTTACATATGAATTCTTGCTCAATTATTGTTTGCTTGTGCAATTGTTCATTTGTTGTACGCAGTTGCTCTTTGAAACCATCTGCTAGGGCTTTTAATGCATCGTTTTTCCTCTGAATGCTTTGTTTTTCCAAAGTCATCTTCTCCAACTCAGACTCAATTTGCTTCATCAATAGTTTTGTTTCAGTATTCCATTTATTAAGGTCCTCTATCTTTCGTTTCAATGTTTCTGACATCTGATTACTTCTGGCTAATTCATTCTTCAGCATCTGAATTTCCTGCTGGTTTTCTTTCTCCAGGTTTGCTTTTTGAAGCAACTGTTCTTGGATTTTCCTACATTGATCTTGAAGACTATTTGCTTCTCCTTTGCATGACTGTGTTCTGTGTTCAGCTGCCTGCTTCTCTTTTTGAAGAGAACTGATTTGTGAATTTAAATGTTTGATAGTGATTTCAGTTTTTGTCTGTGATCTAGTTAATTCCTCCACTTCTCTTTTTAGCTGTGTCTTCTCTTGCTGAACAGATTTCAGCTCCTCCTGATAGTTCATCTTAATTTTCTTAAGATCCATAGCTTCTTGCATCACCTCTTCAGCTTTACCTGTGGTTCTATGTAGCTGCTTGTCCAGTTCTTTCAACTGTTGCAAATATCCCTGCTCTACTTGGTCTTTTTCCTCCAACTTAATTTTTAGGCATTTAAGTTCACTATTGACTTTATCTAGTTTTTCTTTTAATAAACGAGACTTTTCTTCTGTTGATGATTTCTGAAGCTCAGTTTCAGTCAGTTCATATTTCAGGTCTTTAATAGTTTTATCAGCTTTTTTGTTAGCAAGGGTTAGCTCATCTATCTTCTGTTTAAGCTCTTCTACTTTTTTGGCTTCTTGTTTCTTCTGCAAACTTGTAATTTCAGAATCTGTCCTACACTGGCTGCCTTGCCTAGCTGTGAAAGCTGGCAGGGAAGTTTCTCTAGTTACAGAGTACCTGCCTTCAACAACCTTCCTTGTGACTTCAGTTTTCTCTTTTTCTTGCAGCTTTATCTCTGATAGATTCCCTTTAAATTCAAGATCTTGTTCCATTTGCTTTATCAGTTTCATAAGTTTCTCCTCTCCTTCTGTTTTTTTCTTCAGCTCCTGCATTAAGGTTTTTTTTTGTTGCTCTAAATCATGAAGATTAGTATCTTTTCTTCTTAGGTGCTCTTCAAGGTTTCTTCTGGTAAAAGTGCTTTCTTCTATTTGATTTCGAAAAGCACGGAGGTTTTCTTCCAGTACACTTCTTTGAGTCTCTGCCTGAAAAATGAGCTGCTTTACACACTCCAACTCCTGCTCTGCATCTGCTTTCTCTTTCTCAATGCTCTCTAGATCTATACGACACTGCTTTGCCTCTTGCTCAGCCTTGGTCTTCTGAAGACAGATCTCCTCCATGTCCTTCTGCTGCTTCTTCCGCTCTTTTTCTGCAGCTTCCCTCACTTTCGGGAGCTCCTGTTCCACTTGGAATTTCTGTTTCTTCATATCCTCCAACATCTCCTCAAGTGTTTTTAGCTTTCCCGTGAGTTTTCTGTTCTCATCAATTGTGCTATTTTGCTGTGCCATTAGATCTGAATACGCCTCACGCACTGATGCTTCCTTATCCTTTAAAGTCTGTAAAAGAACAAGATGAGTTGGAATGTACTTTTTGTAATAGAGCGTATGAAACATGTTAGGCTCTGAAAAGCATAATGGAAAATACTTACTCATATATATATGGTACGTCCAGAAAGTAGGACGAGCAGTTCCCACCACCATCACCTTCTCTTGATACAGTAAGCTTCAGGAAGTTACCATTAGCCAAATATGAAACCCTCCATAAAGACATCCACAAAGCGAAGAAGTCTTGAAGCCTCTCAGCGGTAAGCACCATCAAACAGCTCGCATAAGCTTTTTCTCCAAACAAATAGGTAGAGCAAACAGTGAGCCAAACACTACATGCAAGAATTCCCAAGAAGAAAGTGGCCTACCATTTCTGGATCAGTTCAGTAGGAACTGGAAGAAGGGCTTTATGCTTGCAAGCACAAATAACACATGAGAAGTTTGGAAATCCCCCACCAAGAAAAGAAACAGTATCTAGAGCTAAAGCCAAGATGCATCATCCCCTATAAAGAGAAGTACCTAAACCCCAGTACACCCATGCTCTGTAGTGTGCTCCACAGTCCCAGTGCGTCCACTGGCTCAGCTGGGGGACTGGTAGGAGCACAGCTCCTCTGCAGTGTAGACACAGAGATATAACCATGGTAATCAGGAAAATCCTAGTGAAAGCCAGTCAGCTAGTAGCCTCTGTACATTGGCAGATCAAGGGAAACTCTTACAAGCAAGATGTATATTCACCAGTAATAATATGGTTGAAACCATACATACCTTGTCTTCGTTAGCACTATTACCGCGTTAGTTACCAAATGTGAGCTAACATGAGGTAAGAACACACTTATATTTCTATGATCATACAAACATGGCATGAGGGGTAATTATAGCAACATTTCCAAATAAACAAAATGTTTAGTTCAAATTTACCAGTTACTTGATTTTTCATATCATATATGAAACTTATTTCCTAAAAGGCTAATGCAAAGGCAGCTTCTTCAGTTCCTCTCCGTGTTTCCCCTGTGTCACAATTTTGTACAGACCCCAATGGATACAAAACATTTGAATTGGTTTCTTATCAGATCTCCTTTTATGCTCCCATTCACACAAAATCTAATGTATTATGCTTGAAAAACTAAAAATACAGATACAGTCACAAACTATATCTTGTTAGCTTTCATTATTTCTAATCAACATGACTGAGCATCAGCTGGGTGGAGAAAAGGATGGCAATTAAATAGTAATAAAAAATAAACATAAATTTAAAAGAACTTAAAAGCATCTCAAAATGCACAGTAATTAATATATCATTAGCATATTCATTGTTTAGATTATGTTCAATCAACTTTAAATCACTTGACCTTGACACATTTTTAGGTTGAAGTCTTTAGATTGGTTTAGAATCAGTCTTAAATTAACCGTTTCATTTGCACTACATAAAAACTCTGGTACCTCAGCAATAGTTGTGCTCCTTTTCTCTTCATTATGATTGTATCCTTTTTTTTCCTTTTCTTTTTTTCCAAGTGAGGCTTTTTTCCCTGTTTTTTCACAGAATGTTTTCTGTAGTTCAGCATTTTTTCCAGGTACCTTTGTGCTATGACCTATATCTCTACTGTCCATTTCTGCAACTAGCAATAAATCTTTACATTTCTGACCTTGTTCTAACTTGTCTTCTCCACTCTGCTTCTCACAGCTTAAATTTATGTTGTCCAAACCACAAATTTTACCCTGTGATATTTTCTTCTCACTTACTTTCTCATCATGACTCAAAAGCTTTTTTGCTAATCCATGTTCTAATAATGGAAAATAATCCTCTCCTCCAGAAATAATTTCTGACAGGACTATATTTGCATTTAAATCACCAGCATTTTCTAGCAATTCTGTACCTAAACTTGGATCCCTCTGCACTGGTGACAGTTCCAAATCTAACGGGTAAGATTCAGAGACTTTTGTTGCATACTGATTCTCTGAAATATTTCCTGAAGAAACAGACAAAATTTCTTGCATTGTACTCTTAGCTTCCTTTAGATTTAAATCTGATTTTTCTAGGATTTCATTTTCTGCTATGAAGTAACTTTTATCCAGAGATGCCCTGTGCAGTTTGTTTGTATCCCTTTCAACACTACCAGAAATGCCTGGATCGCTCACAAATTGCAAATTTAACTTTTTTTTTTCACTTCCATTGTCTCCTGTCAGCTCTCTGAAAGAGGACGCAACTTTCTCTAAAGATATGGCATCCCTTACACCTGAGAGTGAGTCACTTTTTTTACCACACACTTGAAACTCTCTGTCTTCAGAGTTTAAAGTATTATGGCTATTACTTTCTGTAAGCCAATGTTCTTTATGCTGGCGTTCAAAATGAGTCCTTGGTGAAAAATGTTGCTGCTTGTAAGGGCTGATATCCAAGGCATGCTTTCCAGTTTTTGGTGTAACTTCATCTTTCTTCGTTGTTAGCTCAGAATTAATTCCCGATTGCATCTTACATTCTTCCTCTGTTGGAACATCACTCTCTGCCTTTCTTGAACAGTTTTTTCCTGAGATTTTGTGTATCATTTCCACTTCAGGCAACTTCTTTGATACTCCCTCTGTTTTCTGTCTCTCTCCATTAACAATTTGCTCATTTAACATTTCACCAGGATCATTATTCACACTCACACAGATCTCAGCTGAAATAAAACAATCTTTTCTACCGTTTGCTTCTTCTTTACTTTGATTACCAAAACCCATTAAATTATCTTGCTCTGTATGTAGCTTGTGTTTTGTGTTGCCACTAATATTACTTTCTTGACCACTGAAATTTAAAAATTGCTTTAGTGTTCTATCAGTTTTGATTTTATCATATCTGCCTACATCTAATTTTCTTCTGTCAGTTTCCAATTTATTTTCTGTGTGTTTAGGCTTACTGGCAGAGTTGTCTTTTTGCAAATATTCCACATCCATCATGCTTTCATTAGGTGTGTTTTCCTCTCTGAATTCAACAGCTTCATTACATCCCAAATGTTGAAAGACTTCAGCTGACTTCACAGGTTGTTGGAGTTCACCCTCCTCTGGAAAGCTCTGAGCATGACAGCACATGGATTAAACTGACATATAATGGAAAATAATTTTTTTTTCCTTATTCTGTGCATTCTTAGTGGCATTACTGAGAGTTAGGAAGAAAGACTGGCATGTAAGAAAATCTTGGAACAATCACAGACTTCATATGTCTGATCCCAGAAGAAAAAAAAGTATCATTCCTTCTTTGAAAAGGATTATTCATTTTCTGATTTGCTACCCTGATTACAAAGAAAAAACCCATCAAACCACTTTGAGACTAGAAACCTACAAAGATATCAAAGATTTAGAAGGCTGAGGGAAGGTGGAGGAAGATGGAAGACTGGGGGTGTTTGACTTCCAAAAAAGCAGTCCTGGAGATCCAAAAGAGTTGAAAACATTTCATTTGCTCTTGAAGAACATGAAGCCTATCAGCATTCACAGATTTCTTAATCCTTGTTTCAATTCTTGTTCTTTGTTTCACTTTTTTTCCTTGATACCATTACCATTATCAGCCATACTAAATCCTCAGTTATAACAGTTACTTATAAGCAAACATTATCTATTTCCACCCATATGCTCCACGACTTCACGATGCACAAAGATACATGCTGTTAGTGTTACAGTTTACCCAGAGGTATTCAATAGCAAGAAAAGCCAATAAAGATAAAGCCAGCACCAGAATTATCCAACAGTTGTTTAGAACTCTGTTTTTTCTGTAATAATAACCTTTATGAGAGTGTTCTCCAATTCTATGTAATTTATATAGGACTACCTTTAATATGGGCAAAATTCATTATAGGACTACATTTCATATGGGCTTTATTTTTGAGATATGCACTGCATAGATTATATTAAAACACTGTAGTCCTTAAAGAATGACTATATAATCTCTTTCAGAGACAAACATTTCCAGAGAAAGTGAAGAATTTAGAAGTATTTTTTTCTCAATTATTTGGAAGGTTGATTCTGCAGCAAGCATGTATTTCGAGTAATTTGTCTGCTCATTTTCAGTAACCTGTTAATAAGATTCAATGCTAAGCATAAATAAAATGCTGTTTGACCCCAGGGAATCAGTACAGTAGGAAGGTAGAAGGAAAAAAATTATCTAAACATGTCAAAGAAACTTAATCATTAAGAGGGCATCCCATCTCCCTTATATGTTCTTAACGGCCAGAACGCATACTATGGGAATATATAAGGACTACACAGGACATCAACGGTGTGCACACACTAAGTTTGACCTCATCTTAATGTCTGCATTTATCCAAAAGATCAAGCCCTAAAATATTACAGTATTAAAATGTACTGTATGTAACTACATCTGCATCAGAATTCAGTGAGTCATATGATCCTTCTAGCTGGAAGAACTAGTAAAATGTATGGATGGTATATGGCTTTGCTTATCTGAATGACAATAGTGTAATTTAATACTCCTACATTACTGTATAAAGTGCAGTATATACGGAATTTTAGTCTTTCGTATCTGCTGCTAACTTTGTGAATAATTCCAACAGGTATATTGTTCTTTGTTTTCCTAGCTGTTCTTTTTGCTTGGTTGGCTGCCAGGGGATGACCTACCTCTTCTTCTTCCAGTCTTTTCAAAGAGTCACCTGCAAACTTAATGTATTGGGTCATCAAGGTCACTAAGGCAGTATAACGAGTCCGTAAATCCATGAACTGTAGAGAAATAAAAGGGGGAGTTGGCGGGGGAGAGAGAGGGAAGCACTCCCATTAACCCACAAAGAAGTGTTAAACACTACTGTAGAACCTATGAAGATTTTTATTCCAAAATTCTGATTGTGGACTCCAAAGTCCCAATTTTGATTCCAAAGTTGAATGCCATCAAGCAGGGTGCACTTGCACAAATAAATCCTAAGTATCTATGAGGAGATCCATAAGGAGAAGAAACAGAAGCCAATGTTTTGACTTCACAGTCACTTGATTCTTCCCCCCTCTAAGAACAGTTTATAAATGGGATTATATAGTGGCAACTATTCCTCTCTCTAACAGTTCGCAGGGAGACAGATTTCTCTTTCCCACCCAAATGAGGCTGATTTGCCTTGGAACCCGTCCAAGTGTTCAGATCTGGTATGTTTTACCATAGCAAAGATGAAAGCTCCCCCTGTTTTCTGTGATCAAGAGCCAGACCAGAGGTAGTTCTAAACAGTTTTACTGAGGTACATTTCTCATATAGTTTTTTATAACTTGGGGGACTTCTGTTCATCAACAGCAATATACCATCTCGTTATCTAAATACTGCATAATGACCAGTATTTATCACATCATGTATCTATAGAGACAAAAATAATCTTGCTTGATTGCCCTATTTCATCCTAAATCCTATTCTTGTGTTTACTCTGTTTTAAGCAAAGACTCAAAAAAACATGTTTTGCTGTCATAAGAAATCTATTTACCTCTTGAATAATGAAGTCTGATGAGCTTTGGATTCTTCGGCGTTTCACTGGAGATTTTTGTTGGGAGTCAACCATAGCTCTGTAGGTCATAGTCTGCAACTCATAGTCCTGTAAAAGGAGAAAATACACAAAAAAGATTGGAATTCCACATGATACTGACACTAAAGAAAAAAGGATTCTAAGTGTAACGTTATTTATTACCTTCACAGCAGCTGAGTATTGTTCTGAATACTTCTGGCATTCATCTATTTTGCTTTGTTTCATTTCAATCTCAGAAACCAGCATCTGTAAAATATGAATCTATATCTTCATCTTAAAAAGTTATTATTACTATTATTATGAGCATTTCTACTCTAGCTAGCATTATGAAATATATATAATATGCTCATTTCCATGTGTGTACAAGTAATTACATGCTCAAGCTTACGTTCTGGGCCTTGTCAAGCTCATAGTACAGAAGTACTGAAAAAAACCCAGCAGGTTTAATAGCTGGAATCAGGAATATACCATTTTGTGCATCTAATTTGTTATTCTGTCTCTTATTTAAGCTGCATTTCCTTCTTGCAGGAGACAGTTGTTGAGTTTAGCTCTGCTTCCATGAAAATATTCCTATGTTCACAAACCAAGAGCAGTACTGAATAAAAAATTATGTGATCGGAGAGTCCAGAGTTTCAGGCACTCTCTAAGGTTTTGCTCTTCTTGCAGATTTGAGGACCAAAACAATCTGGTCTATAAAATGGCAATAATCAGTGAGTGACATGTTCATGATGTTTATAAACATAAAACCATAAAAACTGGTGATGACTTGGAATTTTACAGCAAGGGCTGAAGAATATAAGCATCTCGTATCAAGACATAGGACTGACATCACTGGGTTAAACTGATACTTTAATTCTTCGGTCATTACAGCAGTGATTTCCTACAATGAGATCCCTTTCATACCTTATGTTGGTTCAGCTGTTTAGCCAATGCTTTGCTATTTTCAGGATGGATTTCTTGAATCTTTCTCTGAGTATCTTCCACTTGTTGAATCCAAGTGTCCAAAGAATTGTAAGTGTCTTTGTAATACTTCAGAGATTTATTAATACCTTCTAAGTCACGCAACCTGATTTTATTTTAGAAGATAAACCAAAGGGGAAAAGATGAATATTAAAGATAAGAAGTACAACACTAAGGCAAATATAGCTTTAAAGGCTTTGGATACATTAGCTCTGCTATAGCTCACACTATAAACATACTAAAATAACACTAACTAAACAGTAAATTAACTTTTCAAACACCAAGATTCCCAGCTTGATGAAGCCTTTTCATTAGTCATAAATGACACCCAGGAGAGATCCTACTACAGAAGAAACTCTGCAGACATCCCTCATTAGTGAGCGAAACTGCTTGAACCTCCAGGAGCACAGGAAATCCCAAGGAAGAAGGAGGGCTCTGCAAACAGCAATTAATTCTGTTATAAGAAGTGAGAGCATTTCAAATGTGACCTATATGAATCAAGGTGTGTGCTGTGTTTTGCTGGAGTTAAGTAATGGTTCATCATACTCTCTGTGCCTCCTACAAAACAACAGGAGCTACACTAAAATTAAAGCCTTTAAGATGTGCGAAAGCAATTGATCCTGTAAGTTCATTTTTAAATCATATTTTTGACCTGAGAGTGCTGTGTATTTCTTGAAACTGTTTTTTCTTTCATGATCCTTATACTGTTACTTCAAAGTTTGACTTGGAATGAATGCTTTGAATCACTCTAGTGTTGCCCTCAAGATGCCAAAAGCAGACTGAAAAAGAGCAAGCAAAGCAAACTGTATTGCTCAGGTTTCACACTTAAGCATGTTTTAAAGTTAATAACCATGAAAAAGAGAAAGGATCATGATAACTGCAGCCAATATTTGTGCATACTTTTCGTATAATGATCATCAGTGTCAAGTTGTTAGGAAGCAACAGAGTGAACATTTGTAGACAGCATCTTGTTTACAGCTCCACACTGCAACTACCACAATCTGTGCTATTTACACTAGAAGCCACTATGTAATAACAGTTATTTTTCAGCATATTCTATTCAGGATACAGTCCTGTGAGGAGAGCATGTGGTTCATGCTTGCCCTCTGAGAAATAAGGACGCTTCAGTACTCATGATAAACCTACTGTTTTATCATTTAAACTATGTCACGCTATCAAATGATGAAAAATCTGAGGTGGATTTGAAGTTAGCCATTCTGCAGTCAGCTTTAAATGAGTCAGCCCATCTTCATTTTAACTTCCAGCAACGTTAAAAAGAGACAACTAAATTAATTAATTACAAGTGAGTAACTTCAGTATTGCCCCTAAATGGATATTCACCCCTTAGAAAAGGGGGACCAAAATGTGAACGGTTGTTGTGTGAACTTTTACATCAACAGCACCGTCTTTGATGCTTTTGTTAAGGTTACCTATAATGACAAACTAAAGTAGATTTTAAAGAAAATAAACCCAGGCTGTATAGCACAGACTTCCTTAGCTTGTCCATACTTTTTCCTTCAGTGTCTACAGTTCTGTTACATACAGGAATGTCATGTATGGACATCTCCTTTGGAATTACAGGTAGGGATGTTCTGCTGTAACTGCACATCTGTGTAGGCATGTGCA